AAAAAAATTATCTTCCTGGCTAGTCTAAAATGCAGGTCAATTGCAGATATCTGCAATTTATTGACACAGAGTTCCTATGTGTCACTGCAATCAATGGGAACAATGGCAAACTGCTCTCGGGAGCATGGATATATTGCTGGAGAGATTGTATTGTTTTAAAGTGGTGAAAAGGTAAGACAGGCTATCTACTCACCTTGATTCTACTCCTGATTATGCCACTTGTTTTTGACCCTGGCCAACTTATCACTGAGCCTCTAAGGTCCCCATCTGTGAAATGGTCATATATTTGCCCCAAATAACTTTGAGATCCTGTCTTTGCAGCCTTCCACTGGTATCCTCTTCTCTAATACATCAACACACAAAGGTCCCTCCTAACTCTGTGGTTCTAAACATAAGCTACTTGTCTTCTCTTTCATGGCTCTTTGTGGTCTACACCCACCCTATCTATCATCCCTTATTCAGTATCAAAGGGTCGACTCCCATCTCTGATTGTGAATGTAACGAGTAGATGATGGAAGGATAAACAAACACCTTAGTGCTTTCTTCCATGCCGCCCTTTATGCTTTGAAGGAGCTCCTCATTAATACCCTGAAAGTCACTTCACTATGCTCCTTCAAATCCTTTTACCATGATCCCTCCAGAAACATTAACTAGAGAATAACTAAGCAGCTGGTATGGTGGTGCTGGACCCAAATTCCTCCTTTTTTCTTTGAACTCCTCCATATATCTGTCTGCTTCCTCTCTCATCTTTTGCCTTCTGGTTAGATTGTAAGCGCTTTGGGGCAGGGGCCATCTTTGTTCTGTGTTTGTACAGCGCCTTGCACAGTGGGATCCCGGTCCATGCCTGAGAATCTGGGTGTGTGTTTAGACTACACATCTCTGTTGACAGAGAGATGTAGTTTAGGCACATTGAAATTGCTAATGAAGCCGGGATTTAAATATCCCATGCCTCTTTAGCATAAACATGGCAGCCACTTTTTTTTAATGGAGATTTTTTTAAAAAAAGGCAGTCTAGAAAATAAAGCCTTTTTCGACAGATCCTGTAAACCTCGTTTTTTGTAGGATAAGGGATTTTTCGAAAAAGGGTTGTATTTTCAAAAGATTGCGTCTAGACTGCCATTTTTTTCGAAAAAACTCCATCTAAAAAAAAGCGGCAGCCATGTTTATGCAAATGAAGCATGGGATATTTAAATCCCAGCTTCATTTGCACTTTCGAAGTGCTTGATTTGCATCCTACAGAGGGATGTAGTCTAGCCGTCGCCTGAGGCACTACACTAATACACACAACAAGAACTAGTGATTAGGGTTTTCTTTCCATGGGGCTGAAGGGAGGGGTTGAGCACCACCGGCACCTTAGGAAAGTGACGCCTTTGCTTGTCTTCTCAGCAGTACTCAGGAGGGGCTTCTGCTAGTCCAGACTCCACAGTCTTAGAACCGCTGAATTAATGACCCAACTTGGCCACATTCACTCATTGCATGCTGGGTAGCGCAGGGTCCAGCGCTCCACTGACAAAGCGTGACCACTCACACAGGGTGCTGCTACTCCACATGGGTAGAGGAGTCGGAGTCAGGCCCCGAAAGGATGGAAGGTTCTCGACTGCCTCTTCTTAGACTGACAAAAGGATCCATGCTTCTTAGTTCGTTAACATGTGGTTCTCCCTTGGCGGAACAGCATGTTCTCTGCATATTTTAACATCACGGAGCTGTCTGAATTGCAGCGCAATAGGACTCGTATGCCAGGATAACCTATATAAGTGTTGTCGGGGGTGTAAGAAAGAGACAGCTCTTTCCCCAGGGGCAGGTAAGACCTAGCTAAGCTGGGTGTTCATGTTACTCTACGTCAGGGGTGGGGAACCTAAGGCCCGGTGGCTGGATGTGGCCCCCCAGCTTGTCTGGATCCAGCTACTGAGGCTCAGGGTTCCCCCTTCCTCTCCCCCAGGACTGGATATCTGTGGGGCTGGAGTACACAAAATCGACTAGCGTGAGGTCGCCTAGGCTCTGGTGTGTGAGGGAAATGTGAAGAGAGTCTTTCTCTTTCTCAGTCAGGGGCCACATCAGTGAGACTTTGTTTTATTTTATTTTATTTTTGTTTCTCACTTGTGTGCATCCCCCAACGGACTTTTCAGCAGCCCCTAGCTCAAAAACGGTTCCCTGCCCCTGCACAACATAACTCTTATATGGAGCTTTTTATGCATAGATCTCAAAGCACTTTACACAGAAGGCCCATCCCATTATCTTCATTGTCCTCTTGAGTCGCGGTCCAGTGTCCTCTTTGTGAAGTCGCCCTGAATCAAAGCAGCAGTAGATGATAGCCCGAGAAACACAGATTCTGCTTCCAAACAATGAGTAGCCCTGTGGCACCTTAGAGGCTAACAAACATACATAGTATCTGAAACAAAAAACAGGACTATATAGCACTTTAAAGACTAACAAGATGGTTTATTAGGTGATGAGCTTTCGTGGGCCAGACCCAGACTGGGGAAGAATCAATGCCCAGAAAACAGATATTAGACAGGATCACAAAGAAAAAACTGTTTCTTGCCATTTCAACCAGAAAGGACATTGTCTCAACGACTTGATTACCTGCATCCTGCTTCAAAGGCCTTTTAAGACTACACTTGCAAAAGGAATCCTCTGAACTGTCATTCATGCTTAAATTCGACACTTTACGCCTAAGTTTGAATAAAGACTTTAATTATCTTACCCATTACAAAGATAGCTTCCCCAATTATCACCTCTAATATCATTAACTCACAGACATTTACCTTCCCCCCCATTCCTCTTCTGTTCTGAAATTTGATTTGTCCTTTCCATATGTGTTCATTTTTTTAATTGTATCCTTTGGTATATATGGTTGTGACAATTTTCTTCCACTATTTGATCTGAGGAAGTGGGTCTGGCTCATGAAAGCTCATCACCTATTAAACCATCTTGTTAGTCTTTAAAGTGCTACACAGTCCTGT